AAATTTAAGAAATAATAATTCAAAAAAATTTATATTAGTAAAATTTTTTTATAAAAGATATATAATAAAAATTTTTACATTTAAATAAATCCCAATACTTAATAACTTAATTAAATAAGACAAAATTAAAAGTTTATTTTGAAAAAATAATCTATTAATATTTATCTGAGGTATAAATCTTTTTGCACTGACCCAAATATACAAATTCATATTTCCTTTAGTGATTATTTCTAACTTTTATATCATTTTAAGTTAATCAATTGTAGTTTTCAAAACATGATTCCTAACTGTGAACGACTTGATGTTTTACTGTACATCAAAGTTACTGATCCAATTATAATATTTGATACAATTAAATGCACACCCTAGTTCAGTCCCAAGTTACGACTCTTATGAAATTTACTCCCTCTAAATGCACATTTTGACAAATGGTCCCGAGGGTGTAGATTTAGGGAGAGTTGGCTGTAACATGTACAGACTAAAAAATGACGAAAAAAATGCATCTAATTCAAAGATATGTCAACTAACGTTAATAGACTGCCCTGCCATGAAGAAATTTATCGGTGAATCATTGGTGCGCATTGCTGCGATACTTACCCTATAAGAAAAATGTTCGGTAATATTGAACACAAAGAACCTCTTTACAACAAACCTAATTTTTAAATCGTCATGAATTCATTATATAATGATTTGGTTCGGCCGAGAAATACATGTACATGTAATAATAGAATAGTTTCTGGCATAGCTCTTTGCCCAATTTTCTGAAACATAGACCAAAACATGTACCGAATTAACAATGTATATACGCGGGTGCTCTTAAGCATTTAATCAAGTCAAATTATAATAAAGTACAGTACAAAGTAAATGAAACAGTATTACCTCTTGCTTGTATTACTGAAATTCGAGTTTTGTCGCTTTTACCCGTTATTGTTGTGTCCCCCTTTGTAGAAGAGTCTAGCCGTAAAGAACTCTGTTCAATCATACCTCTTGTGACTCTGTGAAATTTGACCCGTAAAACTTAAGAAAGCTATAGTTAAAAATTATCATGTAATTTCATTCCCCTTTTCCAATCATTCTTTAAATAAACCAAACACTCACCTTTATCGCCCACAGTTACTGGCACAATATCTTTAAAAATTAGTAAAGAAATCCTCATACATCGAATAAAACTTCCTGTTAAACCCGTCCTTCTTTGAAATCCAATAGACCGGATTAATCTTAAACGAAACGACATCAAAAATATTATATTGCAATCTGAATCTATTTTTAGAAAATTTGATCGTTTTAGAAACATAAAACAATTTTCATTTTAGAAATGTTCATTTTTTTACCTCGTTCATAAACTCTGGAATAATTTATAATGATTTCAACGCAATTTCAATTTCTATACTTCATTGGAATTTATTTCTTCATGATCACAGTGTCAGGTTGCTTTATAAATTGTCTCAAAATCTCCTTTTGCAAGATATTCAACGTTGGTAAACCTTTCAAAAGGAGTCCATTCAAATAACTGATCTTAATTTCGTTGTTAGAAGATTCAAATATATAAATTCGTTTGTGATATTTGAAACATATAGAGCAGTAGCATTTTTTGACGTACAGCTACTACAGCAATGAATATCGATATAGTAAAACAAGCGAGAGATAATCCAGAAGAGAAGTTTATAGAAAGGGGCAGATCATGTGATTTTTTAAGGGGGTAAACCAATCAAATTGCGAGATGCGAAATATTAATATAATTTCAATTACGTTGAAAATAAGTTAGAGTTTAGAATATTTTATTATACGCCTAGTAAAATTTTGCAAAGAACATTTTCTGTTAGACCATAAAAAGTATTTTTCAAAAATTTAATGTTTGAATTTTTTCGTAACACATTGATCTTCGATTTGATTGGTTTACCCCTTGAAAATCACATGATACACCCTTTTTTTGGGTACTGGAGAGTTTAGTAGCTACGTCACGGCAGACGTCACTTGCATAACTTGGAATGTGCCGATCCCGGCAAAATCCGAAATAAGCGTTAAGATTGATTTTGAGTTCAAGGTTAGGGTCCGGGTTAGGCTTGAAGGTAGTAGAGTTATATGCAAAATTGTCTTCTCGTCATTTTTTATTAATGCTCCAAGCTAGATTTAAGCATTCGTTTTCCGTATTTTTTCATTTTTCACTTTTTGTGTCGGATTGTTTTGTCAGGTTGATCATTCAACGTCACTATATACGTCTTAACGCAGCGGATAACGATAATAAACAAGCGCGTAAAATCGATGATAAAATAAACAAGTGCGTAAAGTCGATAATAAAATAAACAAGCGCGTAAAATCGATAATAAACAAATTTACTGTATTGATTGTTATGTTTCAGACAAAACGATTTGTTTACTCTCATGAGATATAAAAGGTTTTTCAATTCTTTTCAATCCCACACGTTGCTTTTTTCATTTTTTCATGTGTTTTTACTTTTGGCTTTTTTCTTTGAAGTTTCTTTGGCTCACCAAGTTTCTTGAAAATTACTTGGGGACGCCTGAGTTTTCTTTCGAGTTTCTTTGGTGCACAAGATTCTTGGGGACACCTAAGTTTCTTTGTCAGAGTTTCCTTACACTCTTGGCGGGTCGTTTATTACTACCCCGTTTTTATCCTTTGACTTCTTTTTATTGGAAACTTCTGGTATAGTATCGTGTTAGCGATAGCGGTTGTTTCTTTCTTGGCTATTTCGAGATTATCTGAGTATTGCTTTACCAAGAAGCAATAGGATTTTCTCTTGGCTAGTTGACGTGTATTTCGTTCTTTGCTTGAACCTGTCTTTCTAGTATAAATTAGGCCCTTTATCTGATTTGACTATCAAGCAATAATTTGAAAAGAGATTTTCTATTTGGCTTTTTCTATTTTTTGTTCGTGTTAGCTTCGTTTTATTGGAACTTCTGGTATAGTATCGTGATAGCGATAGCGGTTGTTCCTTTCGTAGTTAATTACGACATTATCTGACTATTACTTTACCAAAAAGCAATAGGAATTTCTCTTGATTAATAATTGATGTATGTTGTTCTTTGCTTGAACTTGTCTTTTCAGTATAAATTAAGCCCTTTGTCTAGTTTGACTATCAAGTAAAAGTTCGAGAAAAGGAAGTCAATTAGTTTTCTTTTTCTATTTTTGTTAATTTTAGCTTTCTTTTTATTGGAAACTTCTGGCATAGTATCGTGATAACGATAGCGGTTGTTTCTATTTTATTAATTTTAGCTTTCTTTTTATTGGAAACTTCTGGTATAGTATCGTGATAACGATAGCGGTTGTTTCTTTCTTGGTTAATTTTGAGATTATCCGAGTGTTGCTTTACCAAGAAGCAATAGGATTTTCTCTTGGCTGAATAATATCCTAGTATTTCGTTTTTGCTTGGACTTGTCTTTCCGGTATAATTGAGCTCTTATCCGGTTTGACTTCCGAGAATGCTTCGAAAGAATGGGATTCTCAGTTTTCATTTTATTTTAAATAAAACCCGCCAATTTTTAATTAAAGGTGATTGAAAATACACCTACAAAATATTACTACCAGTGGCTTTTTTCCAGATTTTTGCCCTTGTAAAAAATTCTGAAAACTCCGCTTTTTGACATTGTTGCCATAAAATGGTTTCAATTGCTGCTCGAAACTCTTTAAAGGACTGGGGCGGCATATCTGTTAAAAGATAACGCAGGTGTCCTAAGTGGGAACTTACTGAGAACAGAAATCTCAAGTAAAACAAAAGAAAGTCCCCTTTATTTGTGAATACAAAGTGGCTATCGATCCTTTTAGACCCTTGTGGCTAGAGGTGCCAGAAAGTTACCATAGGGATAACTGGCTTGTGGCAGTCAAGCGTTCATAATGACGTTGCTTTTTGATCCTTCGATGTTGGCTCTTCCTATCATACTCAGTGTCATTCACTCTCTAATAGGGAATGTGAGCTGGGTTCAGACCGTCGTGTGGTATTGTTGTAATACTAATTCAACTTAGTATGAAAGGAACCATTTATTCGGATAATTGGTTCATGCGCCTGCCTGAAAGGACAATGGCGCGAAGTTATTATCCGCTGGAATTTCTGAAATTCAAAATGAAGAAATTCAACCAAGCACGGGTAAACGGCGGAAGTAAATATGCATGCCTTGTCATCTGATTAGTGACAAGCATGAATCGATTTACGAGATTCCCACTGTCCCTATCTACTATCTAGCGAAACCACAGCCAAGAAAATGGGTTTGGCAAAATCAGCGGGGAAAGAAGACCTTGTTGAGCTTGACTCTAGTTTGACATTGTGAAAAGACAGAGGGTATAGTGGCTTCGGTCACGTTTGTGAAATACGATCTCTGTTGAGCTTGGCTCTAATTTGAAATTAATGAAAAAACATAATGAAAGTGGTTTCGTCGGTCCTGACTTGAGTGCACTTCCTTCATCAGTGGGTTCTATTACTAAGATAGCTTCTGAAGTTATTCGGTAATATTACCCGAAGGTGTAATCTCGATTCCTTCAAGGTTTCTACGAGTTTCTAGCCAATTCTCATAGATCGTAGTATTCCAAGGATTTTGCTCTGGTGATTCCTAATTGGAATGAGGGTTCGAATCCTTCCAAAATCCAAACTCATTCATAGGGGAAAAAAATCAAATGATCGATTCAATTTAGAAATTTAAAGTATTGGACATTATTTGATTAATTATTTTTTTACCACTGGGTCGCGAAATATCACGTCACAAAATTTTTATATACGAAAATTTATCGCGAACTGGAATTTTTTATTCTTACATTATGTATTCACAGTGTGCTATTAAGAACTGAATTCGAAATAATCCAATTCCAATTGAAAAAGATGTCTTGCCTTATTATTGTTATGCGAAAAATAACATGTCGATATGCTCGTTCACGTTTAGATATAAAAATTTCCTGAAGCTAAACAACATTTTGCAAAAACTGAAACAATTGATCATCTGTAATTACAACATTATGTAATAACGATCAGTTTTACCGAACCAAATTTCCTAATTTGGATTATGAATTTTCATTATGCTCGATTAAAGTAAGGTATTGGGTGGAGGTTATATGTAAAATTGCCCTCCGGACATTTTTAATTAATAGTCCAAGACAGATAGATTTATGCATCAGTATTCTCGTAATATCACTTTTTTCATTTGATTTTTTTGCCGGGTCGATCAAAAATTTGTGCATTCTTAATACATGTAACTAAAAAAATACATGTATTACATAATAAATGTCACGCCCCTTTTTTAAAATGTTAATTTTTAAGGATGCTAAATTTTCATAATGGACATTTCTTAATGGCAGAAAGATAGTTATCACAGTGAAATTTTTGTTTGCAATTTTTGCCAAGTTGACCAATGTGATTGTGTTTTTATGTTTTTCCATGTTTACGTTTTGTAAAACAAGATTCGAAATATCAAAGCTATATATAAGTCACATTTAAGGAGAATCTTACTGTAAGAATAACATTGTAGAATCGGAACTGTATACTTTGTATTCACAATTATAAGTTTATTAGATAAAAAATAATACAAACATACATATATGTTCAAATAAAAATGTATGAATTTATATCAGAGAACGGGTTTAAATAAAAATATGTGAATTTAATATATCTGTAAAAGGGTTAAACCATAAAATACATGAATTAATATGTAGTGGGTGCGCGTTTTTCAATTTGGTAAATTGTTGGCTGTGATGGGTTTTACGGTTTTTTGCCGGTGGGTGTGGTGAATGTGGTGGACGTGGCGGGTTCTGGTTCTCGTTTTAGTTTATGGTCTTTTTTGGGTTTTCTTTTTTCGATTACCGCGAATTTGGGTGCTCCTGTATGTAACGAACGCTCACCAACTATAAAATTTAAATTAATTGTTTTAAGTTAGTTAAAGCTTTTTGTTAGCATAATAAAAACACATACCTTCACCAGCAACGTAGATATCTCCAAAGATAACAAACACCAGAAAACACAAAAAGATCTTTAAAGCGAAATTCATTTTTTTATCTTTTAATTCTTGTTAGTTTTTTAAATTCGTTAGATCTCGTTTATTTATAAGGTCTTATCTTTTTAGTTTTTATTCCTAAAGAATTTGTTGGACCTCGTCTATTTATATGAAAACACTTTCAGCCTATTTTCGTACACGATATCTATGACGATAAGTAAAACCATATGTACAGGGAAAAAAGAGTCAAGTACAGTCATCTCATGAACAATTCAAATACAAGCACATTATGTGATTTAACTTGTCATAATAATTCTGTCGTTCGACAACATACATGTTTTTGGAATTTTCAATAAGTACGCTTTCTATTTCGGTCCCAACTGACTTGTATCCTTTAAGAAATGCGTGAATGTCAGAGAAAAAAGTATGAATTAGTCAACATGGTAGTAAGTAAAGTGCCCATAAAAGTATGTGCTTTAAAAAAGTCTGTTTATCGCAGGAAATGTAAAAGCAAGCAGGCTTTTACAACCTTCTGTATATGCATACACGAAAATGTAAGACAACGAATTTGTGTGGGCGAATGAATTCGATTTGTTAAACCTTTATCGTTATAGGGTAAAAATGATTTCTATTAGTCTTTCTTTACTTGTCAATAAACTTTTTGTTTTTTTATATTACCGTATCGTTTCGGAATTAAAGCATCATTTTTTGAGGTTGACCTGGCAAATGGATTTTCACATTAGATCGACAGCCGTTGATAAAATATTATATTTGTTACATGCGGGTTTGGACTCTGAACTCTAATTCTGGACAATACGATAATCTCAAATAGATAAACTTTTTTAATTAAAAGTCAAACTGAAAATAATTTAGTTTGTTGGATTATTACTTATCATTAAGGCGGTGTGACATTTATTAGCGAATATTATTATGATTATTATGATGGTTGAATTTCTAATACGTTTACACTGTTTCTATCGACTCAGCCCATAATATTAAACTAATAAATACCACAACTTTTATTTAAAAGGCCAACTTTTTCATCAACTTACTATCTCGTATTCAGATAAGTTATTTATCATGATTCAAACTTATTCTTAGAACTCTAAATGTACACTTCCAAATGCATATTCTCCCTAGATGCACACCATAGTCTGTTTCCAACATCTAATAACACTCAATTATGAAATTGCTTCATACATATAATGCACACCCTCGAATGACAAGCTGATTTTAATAAAACATAAAAGTTTATCCGAACTTAACTTTGTGGATTTCTTTTACCTTTTTTCAGAAAAAAGGTACTTGCGTCAATAACAAAATTCCGTGAATCAATTTTAACGTCTTGCCAAATCTAAATTCGTTCAATAAATTTTACCTTACTTTTCGAAAACACAGTTATTTTCAGTAAGCTTTGTGCGTACAGGCGCTCTCTATATAATCACAAAAGGAGAATGATTGACCATAAAGGTCAAATGTCTTATTATATTTCAGAAAAAAGAGAGATATCATCATGACTTTTGGTGATCAGTCTGTACCTAGCAGAATGATATATTCGATTAACAGTTTGCCAATTGAAAAAGAGGATAGGCACTATAAAAAACACTTTAATCTTGCAGGCAGTTTCCCCTGTAAAACTTCTGGAATCCATTACAAATTACAGATATTTACAGGTTTTTACATGCACCAAAAATGTTCTTGGTAAGTCACTACATAATCTTTAATTTTCAAATCTAGAGAAGTTTTGTCTATGAAAAACCTAAAAAAATGTCAAAGTGAAGTTATAGATAAGACAAATGAGATGGTAAAATATCTTCTGTTGTATGATGGAGTTCAGATGCTCGCTGGTAACCATATGACATCTGAATAAAATTCGATGCAGGTTCACTGATTTTGTGTAATTTATAGAACTTGTTCGGTGTTTAACGCAGAATCACATCGCGAAAGTATCTGTTCTCAGTTCCTGGTCAGGTGACAATCAACAAATAAAAATCCACAAATCATATGCGAGTTGGCATTATCTTTTTGATATTTTTAATATTTTTAATAGTGCTCCAATCCAAGCTAGATGTCTGTTTTTCATATTTTCTCGCATTTTCGTCTTCTTGCATTCTTATTGGTCTGTGAAGTGTACGTAATCAAGAACTGAGCACATTATGTAATACATGTACACTTCCCTGTCTAAAAAATTTATATCATTTTATTCAGAAAAACATGAATTTTATTAATATCTAGTTGGATTTCCATGGCTATCTAATACAGCTTGAACCCTTCTTGGCAACTTTCAACTAAATTTGTTAAAACTTCAGACTCAATTTTATTCCACTCCTCCACCAAATCTACCATATATTTTTTGGATGAGGTTTATGTTCCTGAACCCTTTCCAAAATATTTCACAAATGTTTAATTAGATTAAGATCTGGCTTCTGCAGATTATGGAAGACTTAACATTAAATTATTCTTCTTTCATTAATTAACTATTCTTGTTCTATATACTGGAATGTTATTATCTTGAAAAATATATTATGAATTGTTTTCTAATCTATTATAAAAGGATAAAAAAGTATTTTCTAATATTTTTATATATATATAAACCTACTATATTACCTGAAACTTGAATTAAAGAATTAATTTTATCTTTTATAAAATATTTTCATATCATAATTCCTTGATGTTCAGATTTTACAGTTGAAATTAAGTAACTTACATCATATTTTTCATGTGATTCACATCAAATTCAGTGGTATTCACATTTTGAAATAGCATAAAGCAAGATTCATCACTCTAAATAATAGAATCACTCTAAATAATAGAATTCTATTTATCATTTCAATTACTTCTTTTACAATATCATTTTAGTCTTTTTTATAATTTTTTTCAGAAATAAATAATTTTCTTTTTCCAGTTTATCCATAAAATCTCTTAATATATAAAGTATACTTTATAGTACTAGAAGATACTGGAATTGATAAAGACTCTAAATTTTTTGTTATTTTCTCTAGAGATTGTTGCCAGTCTTTCTTAACTAATTTTACAAGACTTCTAATTTCTCTTTCTGTGAGTTTTGATAATTTTCCTAAATGTAGAGCTTCTATAATATTTCCTGAATTTTTATATTTTTGTTATAGTATTATGAATAGTGGTTTTAGAATGTTCAAGAATGTTCTCAATATTTTATTTAGTATGATCTCCTTTTCAAAGACTTATAATCTTTTCTCATTCAAACTCAGTAAGTTCACATCTTTTGAATATTGTAAAAGAAAAAAATTTTTATTTTTGGATAACTGAAAACAAGAGCTGCATGAAAAAAAACTTTATTTATTTATGCTTAATAATTTTGGCATAAATCTTATTTTAATAGGTAATGATCAGTAATCATAAATCAGGTGGTCGGATACTTTTGACCGGGGAGTGTACTTTGAGATCTGGTTAAAAAAAGTGACCACCATTACAGTCATAACTCATGAGCTTTCTAGATAAATATATTTAAAATTATTAAGGTAAAAGAGCCATCAATATCTTTTGATGAATCAGAATTTGTTCTAAAGCTATTTAATTAACTCTTTTTTGCATTGATGTTTTATTCTCAAGCCGTCGATTTTTTTGCAATTTCCAAAGTATCTTTGATTTTGTGTGGTATACTAAATAAATTAATAAAATAATATCATCAAGCTAAATTTACCTTCGTTCAAAACATGCAATCTAGAGACTTGATATTTGGTATCAATATTATAATTGTGGTATACATGTTTTTAAATAATTTTACCTTCATTACTTCGTTAGATATATATAAACTGATATTAGCTTGATAAGAATAGATTATATAAACATTATTAAAAATACCAACCTTCCTGATCCAACTTCGGCAAAACTTTGCTCGTGTAAACTGCCAAGTGCAATTTTCTTCGGAATTATATTTGGCTTCTTTTGCAATTCTAAACTTCTAAGCAACGTCTATTTGGCTTCTTTTGCAATTCTAAACTTCTAAGCAACGTCTATTTGTTGTTTTTCCGTTTTTGTAGTTCTCGATACCGTTTTCAACGACGTCGCATATCTCTTTAGAAGCTGATCTTTGTGAGGGATTTTATGCCAACAATGTACAATCAAGTCGTAGTAAAAGTCAGGTAGTCCTTCCGAGAATTCTGGTCGCAATCCGTTGCATATATCAATGGCTAAATAAGTATCGAAAGGAATGGCGGTTTACAACATGCTGAAGATGCAACGAATGGGATCAAACCAAATATTTGGCCTTTTTCCTTAATGATTGAATAAACTGAAGATGAATACAAATATCATATAGTACTTGTATGCGATAATTCTATGTTATTCTGATGAAGTGCTTTCGTAGACAATTTCGCAGAGAACTAAAAAGTATTCTCCATTTGAAGGATTGCGAGTTTTTATAGTATCGAAAACTATACGTAAATGAAAAATAGAAGGATAAATTAATAAATAAAAAAGCCTCATTTTTTACCTAACATCTTTTTAGATAATGGTAAGAAATTACATAAATATAATAAATTGATATCTAATAAAAATAAAAAATAATGATAATAATAAATTCAAAAAATCAATTAACATGGTCGATTTCCTACCAAATACAAAATAAAATCGTTGATTTCTTACCATCTAAATAAAGGATAGTGGATTAGTTGAATAAATTAATATCAAATAAAATGAAAATGAAAATGTAAACAAAATCGTTGATTTCTACAGGATAGAATAATGGGTTAGTTAAATAAATTAAGATCAAATAAATTAAAATGAAAATGTAAAATAAAATTGTTAATTTCTTAAAGGATAGAATAACAGATTGGTTAAATAAATTAATATCAGATAAAACTAAAATGAAAATCGTTGAATTTTTCACCATCTAAAAACATCTAAAAAGGAAAGAATAATTGATTAGTTAAATAAATTAATATCAATTAAAATGAAAATGTAAAATAATAATAAATTAGATAAATAAATTAATATCAAATAAAACTAGAATGAAAATGTAAAATAAAATGCAAATGTAAAATAGAATTGTTGATTTCTTACTCCTAAAAATAAAGGATAGAATAATGGATTAGACAAATTAATATCAAATAAAATTATCACTAATAAAAAAGTTAAGATTATTAAATAAAATAATAATCTTAACCATAATTTTTACCGTCTTTTTGCACATTTATTAGTCAAATTAGCCTCCATTGAATTATTAATAAGAATAAATAACTACCAAAATAGGTTTCGCATACTTATCTAGACACCATCTTTAATATTAATTTCCTCATGTAATAATTCTTTCATTGTCTTGGCTGACATCAATGCAATTCTTATTCCAAAAACCTTTGTATACCTCACCAAATCCTCCCTTGACAATTTTCTCAATATTAGTAATCTATTCTCTCAATTTCAGGTGTGGGATTGAATAAACTCTTCGATTTCATTATTTGTTTCTATTTCTTTAGTGTTTGCCATATATTTAAGCTATGTTCAAAGAGGACGAACAATCTTCTTTTATATAAGTCTCCGTCAAATGCTGTTGTTTGAGATCACTCTTTCCGTAAATGATTGACAGTGCATGTACTAACTCTAAAGAAAGTAGATCAGCAATCGGAAAAATTAAACGCATCCATGTACTTTTTTATTAATATTAAGTGCGCCTATTTTTCTAGTTTTAGAAAATATAAACCTTTTATATTTTTATTTAATTTTTCGAGTTACTTGTATTTTAGGAATTCTTATTTGACATTTTCTTTGAAAATATATAATTTTAAACTCTTTTAGTTATTTATCAAGTAAGTACTGCAAGAAAAAACTTGATTAATATAGAACAAAAAGAAATTCACTTTTTTGAAAGATACAAAGGCAAGAATATAAAGTTTAGATCTAAGAATAAGAATTTTATCGTATAAATAAAATTACAAAAACCAGATTTATAATAAAATAAAATCAAATATTAAATAAGTTATAAATTATTTGGATATAAATACGATTTTACAACTCTAAAAAAGATTAATAATATCGAATTTGTAATATCAATAGCATTTAAGCCTCGCTGATTCTTAAATTTGTTATATTATAAATTATGTGACTTTTTAACATAATTAATAGTTGGAGTTATCTAAAATAAGTATTTTAACTGAATTTAATATTGTTGCCAGTTCATTCTTTATCTTCATTTGTAATTTCAATCACATTACTTTTGTCTTATTTCTTATTATTATATTATCATTTATTTCTTTTCCTTTCAAATCTTTCTAATTTTCTATCTACTGATCAGTATTTTGTCATTTAGATTATTCATAATTAATTATCCAAGCCATTTCTATTTTTATTTATTTTTGATTATTATTTATCTAATTTAATATGTTATAAATTTCTTTTCTCTATCTCTATTTTTTATTTATTATCTTCTATATATGCTTTATTTTCTATTGGTATTCTAATTCAGTTAATGTCATGTTAATTTCATTAATATAATGCATAATACTTTGCTAATTTATTTCATATAATACTTAATATTTACTAATTATTCACATAATAAATAAAAATTAATTAATTATATATAAAAGAAATCTTTATAATAGTATAGAAATTACTAGAATATTAAGATTTAAATAATATTCAAAAAATTGCTTATTTTGTATGCTACCATTTTTTTCTAGTAATTTTTGTAGCGAACTATTAGTATAAGGAAATTACAATCCAAGCTATTTAATTAATTAGATGATTTTATTAAAAGAGCTTCGCTTTTGTTAGCGATACATATAGCTAAGCTAAAAAAAATTTGTTTTAAATTGGCTTATTTAATAAATTATAAAGTTATATCTTAAAAAAGCAACTTTTTATCGTATTTTATATCAAATTTTATTGTGGTTCTTTGCACTAGTTCTAATGCTGAATCTTTTTTAAACTCGAATATGCCTAAACCTTCTAAACATAAATTACAAATAAAAAATGCACGCGAATTACTTGCTAAAAAGCGCAAGTCGAATCAATGTCAAATTATTTTTTATAAAACAACTAATCGTTTAAAAAAAGAATCCGAATATGAACTTCAAAAAATACATGATACCGTGGTAAATACAGTGTGAGACAAAAGTCTTTGGACATTTATTTATAAGAAATAATTTTGTATCACGAGTCTGTTAGTTACACATGATGGATGATTTTCGATCATCTTTTTTTTTGCATTCAATTCAGCGATTCAATACCATCTGTTCAAAATGGGTTAAGGTTAACTAAGATGCCACCTATAAGTAAAAGTACACATGCCGGAACCATAAAATATTTGTGGGACATTGGTATAAAAAACGTAAGTAAAATACAATGGAAAACCCAAAATTCCAAGATCAACTATCTATTACAACATTATAAAACTTAAAAAACTGACAATTACTCAATCCAAAAGTTCGGTCAATACATATGACAAATTTCCTCAATATCATCATGATTATCGTAATATTAGATTTTTTTTACTATCGCGTATATACATACCGATCCTGTAACACGATGGTTAATAAAGTCGATGAGCATACGATTTTGATCATTGATGAATATCTGCCAGTTATACATAAAAAGCCTCAAAGCTTATTTTTCCTGCAATCCCAATTAGTTGCACGAAAAGATAATTTTAGAATTCACCAAAGTAAATTATACTCTGATTTCTAGATATCGCGACCTGAATTTGTATCATGCATAAGCTAACCAAAGACTCGCATCCAGGCTCAGTATCACTGTTAAGTGAAAAATATATTTTTTGCTATCCATTTCTGAGCAAAAAAGTATGAAGTTGTTTTACAAATAAATCAGTCTAGTTTATTCCTCTCTTCCTTGCTCGTAGCATTTCGCAAATAAATAAAAATCAAACAATGGTAAAAACTGTGGACTTTTCTAAGACAAGATATATTAATTCTTTTATATTCAATGAAAATTACCTCGTTACAATACCGTCACGGCTGAAACGAAGCTGTAAAATCCTGTGACTACAAAGCAGGCATTCTCAAGAGACCAAAAGGACCAGAATTTCGTTTACATAGCCTTTTGTACTTCTAATTTAATCAGACGTTTTCAAAATTTGAAAAATACAGTAGCAAACCAGTACTATAATATTCGGTGCTATTTTAAATCCGAACGAATGAATGCAGAAAAACTCAGGCGAATCATCAGCTGCATTTTGATTTATTATAGCGAAGCGCGATATCTTAACAGGTAATTTTTATTACATCATATTCGGTATAATCAATTTACTTTATAACGAGCAAAAATTTAGAACATAAAAAGATTTGAATGTAAACGGCCATTTCTATCTTTTTCATAATTTTCTGTGGGAAAGACATGCGCGATGTAATCCTCACTCGCATCATTTACGACCTTATCTTTTCTCAAGCTCTTTGAAATTGGTCAAGTTTGAAACATCTGATGTTTTCGACTAAAAGAATGCATCCTCTTGTCGTTTATGCGAATACAGTCAAAACGTCAAAACTGAATGCATGTATAACCATTTCTAAACGAACACGGGTTATATAAACAGGTTTGATTTTACAAAAATAGGAAATTGAAAAATCTCATGATAATAGAACAAAAACAAATAGATTCAAATTTAATAGTAACTGTACCACATTCGATATTTCAATGACCTCATACTTTAATGATTTAAATTTAATCATGATTGAGATCTAGGATCGATTGGACAATTTAAAGTTTAAAAGGGTAATTTGAAGAGAAGCATTGTGACATGGTATCAATATTTACAATCAAAGACAAACATCTTAAACTTTGTTACTTTTCTATCTATTGGTTTTAGCTCTATTTTAAGACTGAATTTAGATCACTGTTTATTGTGAAGTGAAAAAATTACTCGTTTTGCTTAAAAAGTATCTGATGGTAACACATGACGTAATGATTTTTCCGAGCGGTTATTTTTTATCCATTACATGCACATGTATCAATAACTTTCTAAGTGGTCATATGATAGCCGGAATATGAATCATTCGATTTTTTTAACTGTTGTATAATAAATTAATCCCATTTTCTTACATTGATATAATCTATTCAAGCGAAGCAACAGGTAAGATAATAGTGATAATTGCAACATTTTGCGTCACAATTAATTATTGCCGTAATCCGCAGTTTTTTAGTCTGTCCAGCTGGTCGAAAAATCCAAGCCAAGATAAGCCAAAGCATGGGTGTGTATATAATAATTACACGTGTATGATGAACAGACGTAGAAAAGATCATAAATAATAATAGGAAATTAAAAATAATAATTATTAGTCATTGTATCTTTCAAAAAAAAAACCCGCAAATTCATGCAAATTCAAAATAGTAAAATAATATATATATATATATATATATGTATATTAAAAGCAACATCACGCACGCAATCTTACCTTTTACTTTTTTATTATTCATTATTGACCGACCATTCTTTCATACTTTACTATTATTATTTATATTTATTATCACATTTGATCATGCGCATAAGTTTTCAACAACAAAACGTCCGGGGGGGGGGGGAAGCAAAAAGCTTTGTGCATAACACTTTGTTGTTGATTTATCATACCACTACTACTTTATTTTTATATGTATGATGATGTGATAATTATATTACTTTATTTTATTTTTTGATATAAATACAGAGTGAACCTCTGTCGCTTGGACGCAGTATACTATACTCGTTTCTCCTCTTTATATGTAACATAAATTAAAAGTATATAAGTAAATATTTCGATCACAATTAAATAGTAAGATACACTCAAAGAAACGCGTACGAGATAGCGTTATTATTTTACACGTGTCTTTCCCAAAACTTCTAAACCAACAAACTAGCTTTCAAACACCAAACTAACGCCACAAAACACAATGGCATCCACAGTCACCATTACAAAAATAGACTCGCGCACAAATTGTCATCATCTTTCTCACTACTACCCTACTAGCACGACTACAATTCCGACAAAAACAAAAATACGAAACTTAACTTCCAATACTGCAGCAGGGTCTTGGAATGATATTCCAGTCGATTTGGATGATCCCGGTTCCTACAGTTATCATCCGACAGCTGCGATGGTGCAAGCTGCGAAAATTGATTACGCGAACAGAATGTTTGAATACACGTTGGAAAAATTGTATCGTGCTGAAATCGCTATGAATAATAAGGAGACCATTAAAAAATGTAGCAAGACCAAGAAGACGACTACGGCTGCGAACGGAACTACAAAAAGAAACGTAGAACACGAATCTACACCTATTGATGCTGTCTCGAGCAGATCTGCCACGGAAACGTCAAATTTCTCAGCTACAAGCAAGAAAAAAGATGACGAGAATTAATTTGTTTATTGATGATGATGATGATAATAAATAATGATCAACCAAATAATTCATGTAAAAAAACCAGCATAGTAATAGTAAAAAGTATCATTTAATAGTAATAGCAATCGTAATATTAGCACAAAAAAATGAAAACGACCCAATTTACTATTTTTACAGTAAACGTATTACAATAAAATTCTATTTCAGTAACATAATTTATATGATTGTCGCTACTTAAAATAATTATCAAATAACATCCCTAATATGGATCTGGCTTTTGAGAAAATTCACTCTACTTTTGCACTGATAACGCGAAATAAAAGATTTAAACAAATAGTGGTAGTTGGTTAGATTTGCAAGAAATTAATTTACCAACCTCAAAGCCAAGCCCGACTAAGTTACTGTACATCACAAACAATTATATACTTACTATTTATGTTAAAAATCTGCTAGGCTTGAGTAAACGTTCTTTTTTTCCAAACTTAGAATGTTAGAACAAATATAACTTGCATAAAATTAAAATTGACGATTCAGTATCTTGACAGATTCTGCAGGATCGCGGGATTTTAACATCCATTTTATTGATTACCATACAGATGTGAAATTAATTTATTAATTCCTCTGTATAAATTATAGATATAATATTGTAAATAAAGAATATATACACGCATATATTTAGCATATTTTAAAAGTGGGACCGGATATTTAGTTTAATTTTTAGATTTTGAAACTTTGAGTTTTAAAATTGCAAAAATTTAATTATTTTTTTTTAAAATATATATGTATGAATTTTGAGCTTTCTGGTTTATAAATATTTATTATATTAAGTATGCAAACTTCAGATAAAGTATTATTGTAAATTTATATTTTTCTATTCTTGCAAAAACTAATTCTGATTATGAACTTAGTTTTTGTAAAATTCGAATTATAGATTTTAGTTTGTTTTGATTTCTATCTGAGTAAAATAGATTTTAATCAGTTTTTGTAAATTTTATCAAAAAACTATTTTTTATAATCTAATTAAAATTGATTTTAATTAATTTTTAGTAAATTCTGACAAAAATTTTTAATCAGATTCTAAAAAAATTAATATTAATTTTAATTATGAAAAAATAATTATTTTAATCAGATAAAATATCATTTTTATAAAAACTTACTAATATTCAAGAACTTGATTGATCCTGAAATTTTAAAAATTAATTATTTTAATCAGATAAAAGATTATTTTTATAAAACTTACTAATATTCAAGAACTTGATTGGTCTTGAAATTTTAAAAATTATAAAATCAATAAGTATATAAAAAGACAGAATTAATATAGATTTTAATTAAATCTAATTTTATTTAGAATATCTATTATAATACATATATAATAACAATTATAATTAATATAATACTTAATTTACTTTATTTATAATTAGAACAATTTATATAATATTACTTATTTTATTTATATTAAATTCTTTAAATTTTTTTAATTTAAATAAAAATTTATAAAAAAATAAATAATAACAAATATTATATATATATATATTTTAGTATTTAAAAATAAAAAAATAATATATTTAATAAAAAAATCTTAGTAATAATTCTTATAAACTTGAATTAAAATTTAAAAATTTTTTAAAAAATTTTATAAATCTATTTTTTTAAAATTTTTTCAAAAAAAATATTTTAAAAATAATTTTAATATATTATTTTTTCTATTATTTTTTAAGTAAATTTATTTATTAGATTATAAAAAAATTTTAGAAAATTTTAATAAAAATTAATAAAATTTTTATTATATAATAAAGAAAAATATAATTAAAATTAATATTTTACAAAACTGTAAGATTATTTTGTTAATAGTTGTAAACAAGATAAAATGTGATATAAATAAGTTTTAATTTTATAACTTATGATTAT